AAAGATAATACTGGATTAGCGATTAGTATTGTTGAGGGAAAAAAATAATCAAGAACAATCATATATAGTCTGGAAAAAAGAAGGATAAAATTTAGAGGTTCAAGAGTTTCCTATATTGAATGAAACTTATTCGAGACATTAAGTAGGCGTTTGGACATAAAAATTGTAAAATTCGAAAAAATAGTAAAAATTTTTTTCAAAGTAAAAATAGTATTTGAAATTTAGAGTTGTGTTTGGACATAAATTTCAGTTTGGATATTTTTGAAATTTTGTGAGTGATTTGAGTGAAAATTTTGAAAAATAGTTTTTTGCAATTTTTCAAAATTTCGAAAATTTCTAAAATGCATTTTCAAGTGAAAATTGAAAATTTTATAAACAAATACTGATTTCGGGGAAAAGTAAATTTTTTTGGAAAAATCTTCCATCAAGTTTTATGTCCAAACGGGCACTTAAGTACTCCTACTTATCTTTCCTGTCAAGATGACAAAATACATTTTGTCCTTTTGGTTTCGTAACAAGAAACTCGTGACAGATTCATTATTCAAAAAAGTTATGTTAATATATCTTGATTGCTAGTTTCTTTAATACTCACAAGAAAGACATAATGTGTATGTGTGTGTGGGGTAGTTAAATTATTAATTATAATATTATTAATATTATAGGACTAGTGTAAAGATCCCATTATTATATGACATGTTTGAACAATTTATACTTGGTACATTTGGCATAGGCTAGCTGCTTTAAATTCATTAAATGGAGGAAGTAAGCGCCTTTATTCTAATTAGTACTTTCTCCGGTCCACTTTTAAGTGATTTTTGATTTTTTTTTACACATATTAAAAAATTCACCTTTTTAACATTAATTAATAATGAAATTGATCACATTAACTTTAATTTACTTATTGAAAATATAACAAATTACTGGGAGAAATTAAAAAATACCAGATTTACAAGAGGTCATTCAAAAATAGCCACAGTTTCAAAAGTAATCGAAATTTAGCCACTTTTATGTTAAGATAAATCTGAACAAAAAATACTGTTCAAAATCCGGAAAAATACTCCAGCATAATATACTGAAGTTCCAGTATATTATACTAGAACTCCAGTCTAATATACTTGATGATAGGCTATAATTGCATATTTTAGTCGCTTATTACACTCGAATTTACTGCACTTTCATTGAGTTTGCGCTTTAATCGCTAGTGTTTTGCACTAATTGTGTGTTTTATGCCTTGTAGGTGTGATTCCGAGCTATATAGATGTTATGGAATGAATTTAAGTGATTTGAAGCTTTGAAGTCTGAGTAAAAGCTCAAGGAATTAAGCCGGGATCGTGTTCGGGGGTCAAATTTGATAATTAAGTACGAACGAAGACTTGAGTAGGCATATTGCGCACTGTCTAGTAAAATAGACATAACTTTTTGCTCAGAACTTCATTTGGGCTCCACAATATAAGGTTGGAAAGCTAACTCAAAGGACTACAACTTTCATGTTTTACGTTTTTCCAAATTCCAAACGGAACAGGGTGAAAAACCGCGGTTTTGCCGCGATCGCGGCAGAACCCCGGTAGAAGATGGTCGCGGACAACTGAAGAATCAGAGGGCATGTTTGGCCGCGGTTCCACCGCGACCGCGGCAAAATCGCGGCAGGAAGCGTTCAGGGACTAAAGTGCAAAACATGGGATTTTAAGTCCTAAAACCTATATTAAACAAAGGAGGCCGGCCAAGAACAGGAGGGGACATATTTTGGACACAAATTAGACCTAAGGAGGCAGGAGACACTACTTTAGGGTTAGACAACACCCTTGGAGGCAAGAACACATTGGGAGTAAGGCGGAGAATTCTTCTACGAGTTTTTCCTTCCTCTTCCTATTTTTCATTGTTGGTTATGACTTTTAGTATTGTAGTTTTACATACTATTATGAATAGCTAATTTGTTATCTAGAGTTTTGATAAAACTTTTTGTAGGATAAATTCTTGTTATGTTTTTATATAATTGAGCCATAGCTTTTCTCTATTTGTTCAACTACGTTTATATTGTGGTTGGTTGAAGAGCTCTCAATTAGCTGTGCCTATTTAGTATGCATAACTCGGGAGAGAGTGCATATTTAGGTAATTGTTGAACAACACCACTCCCAGAGTATATGAGGGATCAATAACCGAGGGTTTAAAGGCGGGATTAGGGATAACGAAGCCTTGGGTGCGATCTGAAGTGAGCTGTATTAAAAGCCAGCCAGCGTAGCTTGGGAGAGTGCGTCTAGTAAATTGTCGTAATTACTCGGGAGAGATTTACGGTAATAAGAGTGCTCATGATCGGTAGAGAATACTTAGGCGAAATTATAGAAGACATAGCGGGAAGGATTCCGACAATTGAGGAAATCATAACTCTAGACCTCCTTAATCTTTTCTCTAACCCTCAGTATCGTTAGTTGTTAATTTACTATTTTAATTTGTTAGTTAATTAGTTAAACACAAGAATCTTAATATCTATAAGTTAGGAATTGTTCAAGCTTGTCTTCTTGGTGATAGTGAACAGTTGTAGCTAAACCTTAGTTCTCTGTGGGATTCGACTCCGGACTTGTAAACCGGATTATATTTGCAACGACCGCATTGTCCTTTTTATAAGGCATAGTTGGGCGTGATCAAATGGAGTTCCGGTATAATATACTGGTCCAGCATAATATACTGGAGTTTAGAGCACCGGTGCTCCAGTCTCCAGTATATTATACTGGAGCCAGCAAAGTATACTGGTCCAGCATAATATGCTGGAAGTTCATATACAGGTGCACCGAACTCCAATATATTATGCTGGACCGGTCTCTGTTGCAGCAAAATAGTGGCTATTTTTCAATGACTTGACAAATGCTGGTTATATTTGAATGACCAATCCGAAAACTGGCTAGACCATGCTATTTTAACCAAATTACTTGTAGGCTCTTTACTCCAAAGACAACTTTGAAAAGAATAAATTAACTCCTTTTTAATATCTAAAAAAAAGCAAATATTATGGACCAAAAAAGTCAAAAAATCACTTAAACATACCGGAGGGAATAATAACTACGACGACTTAGCACTTATCTGCACCAAATGATTGTATGTTCATATATTCATTTTATCCTAATATTAATTTCTCTTTTCCGTCATCGCACTCCTTTTAATTATGGATCTATTGCTAGTTTAGACAATACAACAAAGTAAATATGTCTTTTTAAGCGCAAAGTCAGCTTGGTAGGAAAAGGACGTATAGTTGCTTCACGTGAAGAAGTGTCCATATATGCTCATAGATCTTCAATATGGCCGGCCGAGTTAGCCCGTTATTTTGACGGTCCTTATAATGGTCAGTCCATCCCAGTTCTATATAGGTCGTGAGCGACTCATTATTTTTAAAATATAATTTTATATTTTTTCTTTAAGTTCTGACCTAAAAAAATAATTATTTAAAAGTAAAAAAGTATCTTATTGGAAACATTTTGTAAAACTTAATAACTTCTTATATTGTTCAAATATATCACAGTAAACACTAAAAAAGTAAAAGACAAGACTATATTTTATTTACTAAAAGTCAAAACCCAAAATAAATTACTCAAGAAAAAAAGTAAAAGACAAGACTATATTTTATTTACTAAAAGTCAAAACCCAAAATAAATTACTCAAGAGAACGTCCATTACGCTTATGGGATATCCAACACATCATCTTCATCAAATACATTTGAATCCGCTTGTGATAAGGTTGTCTTAACATCTTCACTTTCACCTACATTTAGAATTCATATGCCATATTAATTAGTTAAATATTAAGAATATAAATTTTAAAAACTAATACTAATAATTAAATTCACATAAAAAAAATTATCGGTTTGAGTTTGGGAAAAGTCGTGCAGCCAATTTCGAGTAGTAACAAGTATTTGGACATTTTTATGATGGATACAACTTCTGTACTTTGTAAGAACACGCCATCAATGCTAAATGTAGATTTCGATGCTGTAGGCGTAATAGGATTACTAAGTTCATCACGCGCCATCACTGAAAGATCGGGATATTTTCTAGAATAGTCCTTGACATCATCCATCTCTTGAAACTTCTCAAGATCGAGCTTTGGTTCCTATAAGTAAAGATCAAATTCTGACTTTTCATTGCTAGAGGCAGTATACTTTTTACATTTCAAATAAATATTTTTATTAGGCTCACGGGCCGGTCCAACCCAGCCTCACGAGGCCACAAGCTTACTTGGGTCGGGCTTAAAAGCTTTGTTTTAAAATAAGCTCCGAAAATTCTAGTCCAACCTTACTAAATTACGGGCTGGACTAGGCTGGCCCAAAGGGCCAAGTCCATATCGGCTCTATATACTCGTAGAATTTCATATTAAAAATGTTGAGTTTGATTGTAACATGTATATAAGCTTTATATTAAAAATGTTGAGACCCTTGGCGCCAATAAGGTTTTTATTTAAGAGAGAAAAGAAGACTATGACTTCGCTATATGAATATTAAGTAATAATAGCATGATACCTCGAATTCAGTATGAGAATTTTTTGTATATTTTTTCTCTCAGTTTAACATAAGGAATACTTTCGATTTTCTCTGATTTTCTCTTATCAATCAGGAGTTCTGTTTAGCATCACAAACTTTCTTGCATTCCCATTGATTAGATTAACTTTTCATGTCTAATGTCTGACCTAACAATTAAGGAAATATTGAGATTTTTCTAAGAAAAATAATTGAGATATATTTGAAGTTCATTTATTTTTAATTGAGAAAAATGTCCTGACCTATCAACTTTTGAAGTTCATTTATTCTTAATTAATCGAAAAAAGAAGATTTTAGTGAACTCTGAAAATAAAAAAAATGATCGAAAATAATTTACTCAACCCAATAAATTTATTCGGCGTGAACATAAATTAATTAAATTGATGCACTTCGAATGCCGAATGATTAAATCAAAAAAGAAAACAGATAAACTAATGTATTAATATTAAATATTAAATTCACACTTTACTTCCACTTGCTCAAAAAAATGTTAGATCCGTGATAATTTCAGGGTGGTGGCCCCGCAAAAATTCAACTGAAAATAGGAATCTGCTGGACGCGCGGTACAGGAGCTGCGGTGCACAGAGCCACGGAACCAATCGTGGTCCACAGGCTCTGGTCTCCGGCAGCTACACCACCTTTGTATTTACCGGCGAATAGCATCGGCGCCGGAGACAACCAGCCGCCGGCGAAAATGAAAGGTTTATTCAAATCAAAGCCTAAAACTCCTGTTGAACTTGTTCGCCAAACACGTGATCTCCTTATGTACGCACAGCGTAATTCTGATACTCGCGAGAGCAAGCGAGAAGAAAAGGTTAGGATTCAATGTCTTTTAGTTAGCTCAATTTTAGATCTGGATTATTTTCCTTTTAATTTAAGTTCAGTTGTTACTTTATTTTTCCTTGGATACTTAATGTTTTAGAAATTCAATGTATCAATGTAACTATGCCTAATTTTTTCTTGTTGGTTAAATGTAATGAAACTGGTGGATAAGTTACTTAGTCTACTTGCTAGTTGTACTCGGATTTAAGTTCGATAATGTAATGATTTTTTACACCATCAGTGCTCTTGTAATATGTTGCTTACCAATTATTAAAGATAACCAATCATGCTATTATTGAATAGAGTTACCTACAATTACATTTTAAAATAATCTGATTGTGAAATATTTTTAACACCATCAATGCACAAAACTTAAACTCTTTTCCAAATGGAACTAAGTTATATGCGCAGACAGTGTAATGATTTTTTATACCATCAGTGAAATTTACCTGTTGTAACATGTTACTACTTACTTGCCATTTACTACTATTAATCATGCTATTAAGCAGAGTTATGCAATTGCCTTTTAAATAACCTGATTGTGTAAATATTTTTTACGCCGTCAGTGCATAGAACTTAACCGTTTTCAAATTTGTGTTATCCTTTGGCTTGGTTCTAGCTTTAGCTTTTGGAGTACTACATTGAGCTCATCATTTACTCATATCACCAGTAACAATGTCATTAATATGAATTTCATTAGAAGAATATGGAATGGCCATGTTTAATACGGTTTCTGATTGAATTTACATACACCAATTCGCTGAAAATTTAACTTGTCTACTTCTTTCCTTATCAAAATATGCAGATGATGGAGTTAGGCAAGTCAATTCGGGACTTAAAGTCTATTCTCTATGGAAATGGTCAATCAGAACCTGTCTCTGAGGATTGTTCTCAGCTGACTCAAGAATTCTTTAGAGAAAACACACTGCGGCTGCTTATTAATTGTGTTCCGAAGTTGAATTTAGAGGTAATACTTACCCCTCCTTTGAATTGTATCAACTGGTGGTTCTCTGGCGTCTTCTCTGCTGTTTGACCGGGTGTGATTTGATAATTTGCTATTGGGTTTTGATGTTTATTAACCCTATTATGTTGTAAGATCTTGCTTCCGTCCTCTTGTCTTCCTGTTACAAGGAGATTTACTTTTTTCAGGCTCGTAAAGATGCTACTCAAGTAGTTGCAAATCTGCAGAGACAGCAGGTTCAATCACGGTTGATTGCTTGTGATTACTTGGAAGCAAACATTGATCTGATGGATATATTAGTATCAGGGTAAGTAGTGACAAAATAGAGGTTTACAAATGTGGTGACATGTTATTATCATGTGTCGTATTGCATTATCGAATTGCCTCATGTTTATGAGGTTTAAAATATTCAAATTATTTTTTGGGCTTTTCTTTTCTAATGCACATTGCTGATCCCCATCCATGGGAAAACTAGATCAAATTATCTTAACGAAAGAAATCAGAGTTGTTCTTGCATGTTCTTATTAGACATATTTTGTCATTAAACTTTGTGTGAACTGTTATGTTTAATTGCTTACTCCATTTCTCCTGAAACACTTTGGGCTATCTCGAAGTATTGAAGTGATACTAAGGGCTCGTTTGGTATGATGGGTAATCCCGGGATGAAATTTGAGATGAGTTTATCCCACGTTTGGTTGAGATAAAATCATGGTATAACTAATCCGGGGATTAGTTATCCTGGGATTGTAGTATTTTTTTATTCCTATGGGAGGGTGGGATAACTAATCCAGGGATAATTAATCATGGGATAACTTGTTTTCCAACCACTGTTCTATATGCTCTTGCAATTATTTTGTATATGCAAGAGCTAACTAATAATATACAATATGAGGTACATGATTTATGCTATTTGCTTAGGATATTATACTAATTAGACAACCAACAAGGGACTGAAGTAAGACTAAATATATGAACTGCAAGTTTAGTCAGTATAAGAACAGTAAAATTAAAGTGAGATTACACGGAATTGTGGTAAGTAAATGCAAACAATTCAGATATTAAGGCTCGATATTCCAGGAGAACGTTATGATAAATGAATATGTTATACATAGAATCAAAACAGGATAGCTGAAATGGAGATGTGCTACCAGGGTGCTATATACGTAAGCAGAGGCGGATCCAGGATTTAAATTTTTGGGTTCAACTTTTAGGTTTTTAGCATTGAACATATTATTCTTAAAGTTATAGGTTCATCTATACTATTTATTATAATTTTAATAATTTTTTACACCTAAATTTGTACTCCGCGTCGAAAGTTATGGGTTCAATTGAACCCGTACCTATAACGGTACATCCACCCATGTACGTGAGAGTAGGATGCTTACCAAAGTAAAAGATATGTTATATAGAATAGTTGTAGGACGAACATTGTTATATAGGATTGGATGTATAATATTGCCGGAGATTAGCTTCGTGGAGCTACATGGTCATTAAGGATTCATATAGCTGACCCCAACTGTTTGGGGTTGAAGCGTTGTTGTTATATATAATCAAAGTAACTTTATTGATTGACATGTCTAGTCAAGTTTTTTCACCTAAAAATGGGACTGAGGTAGTTTATTGTGTCAATTTTTACAAGCCTTGGTGGGATAGCTTCTTCTAGCAAATCCGTTTCCTGGGAACCAAAAGATGTTTTTGAAGATCATTTTGTTAATCTCTTGGCTATTGGTATATGGATTTCCAATAATTCTTTTTCCATGTCATTTAGGTATGAAAACACAGATATGGCTTTGCATTATGGTACAATGCTGAGGGAATGCATTCGGCACCAGAGTGTTGCAAGGTCAGGCACATGAACTTATCTGATGTTTCTTTTTTTGTGTGTGTGTGGGGGTGGGGGTGGGGGTGGGGGGGTTGGGGGGGGGGAGGGGGAGGTAATTTTATACCCTTTGAATCGACTGGTAATAGAATATTCATTAATCTGAGCTACTTAATTAGCTTTCTTTTTGCTATATATTTCTGAATTTCTGAATGCAAATGAGGCATATTGCTAGTGTATGCTGCTACTGCTGGATCTGTTTTTTGAGAACTTATATGTGTGCTTCTGTTGTTAGGTACGTCTTGGAAACAGAGCACATGAAGAAGTTTTTTGATTATATTCAGCTGCCAAATTTTGACATTGCTGCTGATGCCGCTGCAACTTTCAAGGTTGGGTGCTTTTAATTACGTTAATGGAATGAATATCTGATAGATAATTTTGTTCACTGAAAATATTCTATTGTCATCTCAATGGCTACGTAAGTAAATATGCCATCAGTGTTAATTCCCTATTGCACTAGCAAACCTCTTAACAAAAGAAGGAAAAAGAAGCCAATTTGCTACTCCACATGACAGCCTTGGCTGTCCATGGTGTGGTTAGCTTGCTTATCAAATCAAATGATTGGGTCTCCGTAGTAACTGCAGTAGGAACTTGCTGCATTAATTCCTAGTGAAATTCAGCGGATTGGTCGTGCTATGATCATTCTCCAAAGCTTATTGTGGTTTCGGCATATTTATTATGGCTCTGCAACAGAAGCTTCTGCTCTTTCCTAAGAGTTGCTTGTCATGCCTACTGTGGCATTATCCTGATTCAGTTGCAATTTTCTGGCAGGAACTCTTGACGAGGCACAAATCAACAGTAGCTGAGTTTCTTTCGAAGAATTATGACTGGGTAATAGATTTAATATATTTGCCTAATTACTTATTATTGTAGACATGGAAGTAAGTTGTTTGAACCATAGTTACCGGGAGTTCTCTGTGAACTTGTGTATGTTAGTTGTACACATGCAAGCTTGTTGTGTGAACTATATTTAAAAGTTTTTCTCTGGAAACTTGTTGCTTCTTGCAGATCTGATTTTTGCAACTATGCTCTCAAGATACTCTTAACACCTTCCGTTGTTGATTCTATTATGTTGTTTGTTACTATGAATGATTCTTGTAGTACTGATGGAGCACTCAGTTATATGCACTTTTTACCTTTATTTCTTGGGACTTCATGACTATCAGGCTTTGCTTTATTATCTTAGAAACTTATTCTTTCACCCGATGGTGCCTCTTGAGACCCCTTTCCATCATCAAAAAAGGGAAAATTGTGACATGTTAATGGTAAGTGAAGGTGTGTTAAGAACCTCAGAGTTTGTTCTTGTTGCTGCCCTTTTTCTTTCATCCAGGTTTATGTAGTTGAGGGGATGGATGGATGGATCAACTGGGATAGGGTTAAGGAGGATTTTGGTGCCAGCTATGTGGACTTTCAGTGTTTTGATTTGCACTACTTGGCTTAGTGATTGATACATAAATGTGGTCAAATCATATGTTTTACTTCTAATAGGTTTTTCCATTATACTTGGATTTTCTCATCGCCTACTCTTGCTTCGAATAATTAATTATGGCGAACTTATTCGCTGCTGGTTCCGTTTTCAGTTCTTTGCCGAGTATAACTCAAAACTGCTCGAGTCCAGTAATTACATCACCAGAAGGCAAGCTATCAAGGTAAGGGAAGCCTTCCTTCTTCTTATGGACAACTTCTGCTGAATAATATACTTCTGGAAAAAGTTATGTTCCTTCAGAAAATTTCTCACGTCTTTTGCAAAATATCTCAGTGGAATCTAGTACATGGTAGGTCATAAATGTTTGATGTACATTTTATACCTCAAGCCCTCCTCATATTACATAGATAACAATTTTTCTCTTTCCCTTGTATGCTGATCCTCATTTTGTTAAAAGAGTTGTTCTTGCGTCTTCTTTTACTGAGGGCTATGTTTTTGCAGTTAACATCATAATTCCTTTAGGAGATACCTTTACATGTACCTTTTAGGCTGGGGTTAGCAGGAATCCTCTTTCCATGATGAAAGAAGGGAAGAGGAGGAAATTAAGGGGCTTGGATAATAGAAAAATTGAATGAAATTCGTGTTTTCAGAATTAAGCTGTTTTGTTGTTTCACTAGAATGGATGAGATTCATTCTGTTGATTGACGGGAAGCTGAACCTTACGACTTTGAGGAGAAATTTCCAGCAGTCAGCTTTTTATCATTTATTCAAGCTCATATCTTTTCTTTGCTGGAAATTCATAATGTTATACATCACCAGTAGGTCGTTATAATTCTGGAGTCTTTCTTCATTTCTTTCAGACAGTGACTCTTTCCAATTTATGTTCAGGCAGTTGTGACTTGTAGCCTGACAGAGACCTCCTTTTGGTTGTTTTCTTTTCATATTTAAAGATGTTTGTTTTACTGTTGCAGCTGTTGGGAGATATACTGCTTGACCGCTCAAATTCTGCAGTAATGACGCGTTACGTTAGTTCAAGAGACAACTTAAGGATCCTTATGAATCTTCTCAGGGTATTAAGCTATATTTGGTTGGCTCATTCTTATTGCAGCATTATCTTCCTCACTGTCATTCTACTCTCTTCTTTAATCTTGTATTCTCTTGAAGTTTCTGTTGGTGCATTTAATTATATTCTCTTCCTATGTTGTGGGTGGTGGGGGCTTTACAATATTGATCATGAAACCCTTGCTGCAATTCAAGTTTATTATTAGACAAGACTAGAGTTAATGGGTGCTAATTGGGCAGGTAATTTGGACAGGTCAACATTGAGCTAATACAGTGATATTCCACGCATACTAGGGTTAACTTTGGGTTGGTCCACTGTAGATAACTAGCCTAGAAGTGCCTTTGTACTTTTTGAATAAATCACAACTGCACCATAATCCCTAGCTAGTTATGGTCGGCTATATGAACCCCTTATATTTCAAAAATAAAAAACCAAAAAAAATTAACTAAATAAAAAAGACACCATTATAACTTAAAAGCCTATCATTTTTGGATAATGGTGGTGTCAATGTCAGGTTGCGAGCACCTTGACTAATCCACCGGTCTCCTGTTAACTCTAACAGAGGTTTCGTGATAACTCTGCGCACCAATTTTTAGAAAAATGAGAAGAATCACCTAGTTTTTTGCTGTTACTGGGATTTGAGCCCTGGTTTCCCATGGTATTCCAGCTTTATTGACCTCTCAACTAGAAAGCCTATCGTAGAATATGGGAATCTGTAAAAGATTAGTTAGTTAAGAAAGCAACAGTCTGAACGGGTAAATCTTGTCTTGGAGTTTGGCAGTTGCTATTCTGCTTCACCGCACCAGTTCATGTTTTTGTGTGTGATAAGTCCATCTCAATCCAATGGACAAATTGTTAACTTGTGAAATAAGTAAAATTAGATGGACCACCTTTTGCTTAGCACAACTAGACTTGAAGTTGAATTTATCACTCACTCACGTGAACAGTATAAAACTGCCACCCTAAACAGGAACCATGACTATCAGTGTGGCACACTTAATTGTTTGAGTGAAGGTATGGTTTTGGAGTGACTACAAGTTGACCTTTTACAACATGCATAAAGATTTGCTGGGGCAGAGTGGTATGTCGAAAGTTATGTGGCTCCTTTCCCCATCACTATAGCTGATGACCTTATCAAATTATCTTCTTGAATTGCTGTCAAGTTTTGTTGATTGCTGAATTACTCCTTTTGCAGGAGTCAAGCAAGAGTATCCAGATAGAAGCATTCCATGTTTTCAAGGTACTCTATTGATTTTGACACATTTTATCATGTCTGCTGACTGTTCCATTAGCAACGGCTTTGTCTCTGACTTTCAAGTTCTGCAGTTATTTGCTGCAAATCAGAACAAGCCTCCAGATATTGTTAGCATCCTTGTCGCTAACAGAAGCAAGCTCCTGCGCCTCTTTGCTGATTTTAAGACTGACAAAGGTACGTACATAGTAAATATTGATTAAGAATAGGCACATGCACAATAAATATGAATACAGAGCTGTATCTTGTGAAAGAATGCCTCACGATTTTCCTTACTTTATCTGCAGAGGATGAGCAGTTTGAGGCTGACAAAACGCAGGTTGTCAAAGAAATTGCAGCCCTTGAAACCAAGGAACTCTCTTGAACTCAGACTAGTTAGTTCCTCAACTGTCAGGTGATGTTGTATGTGTAAATGAAAGACGGTGTTTTCTCACAGAACGATCTTTTACTGAATTACTAGTCTTAATTCTTAAAATTGCTATTTAAACTTCACTTTCTTTTTCGTGGTTGTTTGTCATTTGTTCCCGTTCCGGATCTTCTTGATCTATCCAAGAACTTATCAGTCTGATGCTACTATTTGGAGGGTTTGATCTATCCAAGATCTTCTTGGTCTATCCCTATACATATGCTGCGTATTAGCTATTCGAGATTTAATATCGCCAGTCAATTACTGCACAAGTTATACAGAGTTTGATATGGCAAACCAGACATTGATTGAGTTAGTTATGCTGATTTTTTTTTTCCTTTAACAGCCACCTGAATACTATAGTACCTAGTATGCATAATTATTGTGAGATCATTTTAATTTATGCGACCAACCACACGATGCATGGATTTAATGCTAAAAAGGAAATGAAGTATCATCTTTTGTACCAAAAAAAAGTATTTACATATACTCGCAGATTACACAAATTGTTTTGTTAAGAAGTACGAAAGCGAGAAAGTTTGCGTAATGAAACTTGGGTTGTGTAATTTTTCCGAAGGCTTAACGAGATGAGGTAGGTGTCGACCACACTTCTCTACCTTTTTGTTCAAAAATTTAAGCTACTTAGTGATGCTGGCGATCTCAATACCTGACCTGGTGCTACTCTCTTCATCTTTACTTCCTCCGGTCCAGAATAAGCACTATTTTACTTTTGGTACACCCATTAAGGAAATACGAACTCCTAGAGAAAAAGAAGATGTATTCACTAAATTAACCTTAATTAATTGTTACCTTGACACAGTTGAATATGTAAATAAGGGCAAATTTTAGAAAAATAAAATTAATTTCTTCTTGATTATATAAATAAATATTTATTTTGGACCAAAATAAAAAAGTAAAATGATCATTTATTATGAACCAAAGGGTATTATTATATTAGGATGTGAAGTCATGGAAACTTTGGAATAAGCAACACAACCTGTTTGTAGTTGAAGGGGTAGGGCAGCGCCCTATAATATTTTGGATTGAGCTATTTCCAATTAGAATACAGGAAATTACACCTAGTGACCTTGAAAATGAATTATTTTGCTTGTTCCATGGGCAAATTTTTAAGGTCAAAGTTAAAAGTGTTGCTTATGAGGCAAACGAGGGGTAACACTTGTCAAACTTAGAGGTGGCTAACGGGCCGGGTTGACTCGGAACCGGACCGGCCCAGATCGGTTAAAATCGGAGCCGGACCAACCCAGTTCATAAGGGGCCGGGTGGGCTGGGTTGGGGGGGGGGGTAAAGGGGTTTGTTCAGTTTAAAATTTTGCAACGGTTAACTGGACCCGGTAAACCCGGTCTGGATGAACAGTACTCGTAACCGGTTTAACCGGCCCGGAACCGGCCCGGAATAACGGCTATAATTTTTTTTTGTTTTTTTTTTTAATTTTTGGCAGGTGTGGGACCCATCGACCGTTGGCAACTGTCAGAAATTGAACTGATCCGTTAGCCAACGGATCAATTGCAAAAATAGCCATTTTTTTTTATATTTTTAACCCTTTTTGATTTTACAAAAATAACATTCTCTAAAATTATAAATACCCCCCTCTCTTCTTCATTTCTCACTCAAATCTCATTTCTCTATCTCAATTTCTCTCATTCTCTTATTCTCCAATTTTCAAGACTTCAAGTCTTCAATTCATCCTTTCATCTTCTAATTTTATTTGGCTCTCTTTTCTTGAATTTAATTTATCGTATTTTATCATTCGGGTTTTGAAGTTTATACATTTGAACTTCAAATTGAAATACTTGCTTGACGTTTGTTCGTGGTAACCAGTGTTTTAAAAGGCGTTCTTGGGGCGAGCCCTGGGGCGAGGCGTACCAAAAACGCCCCGAGGCGATGGTGGGGGGCGAAAGTCCCGTAAGGCGTACGCCCAGAAGTTCGAGGCGTACGCCCGGGCGAGTTTTTTGGTTGAGGCGTAAGCCCAAGAGACATCTTTTTAAAATGGAATTAAAAATATTAAATTTAAAAGTAAACTTTTTAATATTGCTAAAAGCCCTAAATTATAAGTCTTCCCCAATATTTTCCGCTAGTCTGCCTCTACCAAGAGCAACGATTTATCACTTTTTTTTGCAACAGAAAACTTCATTCTTCTCTGTATGTTAAATTCAACAGGTTTGTTCCTTCCTCCATGTAAAAACTTTATTATTTTGAACTCATTAGTTTCCTCTCTTTTTATATTTCATTGTTAGTTTGTAAATATGTATGTAATTAGTTTTTTAAGTTTAGTGCTTCTCTTGCTCTCTTTCAAAATATAATATGGGATTATATGTATGCGTGCTTTTATATGTATTGATTGGATTAATATATAATTTTACTTATTTATTTGGAATTTATAATTTCATTAGATAATATGAGATTTCACTTATATATATATATATATATATATATATATATATATATATATATATATATATAATTATTTGGCATTTGTATGTAATTTCACTTATATAATTTCACTTTATTTGGGACTTCTGTATAATTTTATTAGATAATATGTGATATATATATATATATATATATATATATTACTTATTTGAAGTTTTCAAAATTTTATGCAATTTTACCTATTTAATAATATTTTTTATAATTATATTATTTTATAAAATATTAAAAATTGAATACCCATGGGGCTTAAGCCCCCGCTGAGGCATATGCAAAAACGCCTCGCCTTACGCCCCCACTTTTTAAAACACTGGTGATAACATCGGAATTGCGTAATCAAGTGCTCAATTTATTGTCCAATTCGGTGCACTCCCTCCAACTCTTTCTCTTATTTAATATTTTAATTGCATATTTAATTTTAGCTTATACTTTAATTTTTACAATATGTTTAGTGCTGCTAAAAGAGCGTGTAGAAAAGTTACTGGTAGGGGTGGAAATAAAAAAAGAGGTAGTCCTTCAGCTTCTGGTAGTAATAGTACCCCAATTTCTCTTGTTCCCGAAACATCGCCTAATGCTAATATAGATTATGAACAATTACAAGAAGATTATGGAATAGAAGATAATGAATTAGGAATGGAAGATGAGATACTAGCTACACCTACTAGTGCTGGAGTTGGTAGTATTGGAGTTGGAGTTGCTAGTGCTACAAGGGGTGGTGGTCGTGGCACCACTACTGGTAGACCATATGTGGCTCCGACTTCTAATCGTAGAAAAAGAAGTAAGGTTTGGAATTTTTTTGAAATAATAGAAGGTACTGATAGAGTTAGATGCAAAATTTGTAACGATACTTTTAAACATTTGACTGGAGGAAATTTAGGGGGGACTGAGACGCTTAGTAGACATATGAGAATTGACCATCCCATAGAATAGGGCACTGATGGTGATGGAAATCAAACAACTATTAACCCTACTACTGGAGGTCTACTAAAATATGATAAAATGAGGGATCTTGAGGAGTTAGCAAAAATGATTGTTTTGGGTTGTCTACCTTTTTCTTTTGCTTCTTCATCATATCTTATTATGTATATTCAAAGGATTTACAATCCTTTATTTAAAGGTATCCCTATAAGTACTTGTAGAGCTGATATCTTTAGACTTTATGGACAATATCAAACATACTTACGTTATTTGTTTAGCCACCTTCCTTGTAGAGTTTGTCTAACTTCTGATATTGGCCATGCTGTTAATGAAAATGATTATTTGACAATTACATGCCATTGGATAGATGATAGTACTTGTATGCAAAAACGTATTATCGCTTTTAAATATGATGAAGATCAGAGTCATACTGCTGCGTTTATAAGTAACACTATTGTTGAAGTTGCTGAATATAATCTAAACAAAAAATTATTGTGTATGTCTTTTGATAATGCTTCTAACAATAATGCCGCAATTTCAATATTAAAAATGCATTTGAAGCCACCTCTTGATGATATTTTTCATGTTAGGTGTGCATGTCATGTTTATAATTTAATTGTTAAAAGTGGCCTTGATTTATTTTCAGTTGAGATTACTCATGTTAGAAGAGCAGTTGGTGTTATTCAAGGAAATAATAGACAATCTAGAATAAAAGAATTTAAGAATAAGTGTATCCAGTATAACCTTAAACCTAGATTCATGCCAGACGAAATTGTTACTAGATGGAATTATACATATATATTTTTAAAATGTTGCTACAAATATAGATTCCCAATAACTGAAGTTGCTAATGCGCATTGTACTGATCCAAGGCGTATGTTAACAATTGATACTTGGGAGGTCATTAATGATGTTGTTAAATTTTTACATAAATTTTATACAGCTACTGTTGAGTTTGCTGGAGCATATTACCCCACTGTTACTATGGCTTTAGTACATATAGCTGAAATTTCTTTTCTACTATCTGAATTTAAGAAGAAAGAAAAATATAAGGATGTTGTTGAAAAAATGCAAGCAAAATTCAAAAAATATTTCTTTCCAATTCCTCCGATTTACTTAATTGGTGCAGTTTTAAATCCTTCTATTAAAATGTCTGATTGTCACCTATTAATGAATGTTTTATAATTTATATGGAGATTGGAGAAACTGAAACCCCAACTTTATATGTCTCTATGAACAAGCTAAATGAATATTTACAACAACTATATAATTATTATGCAAATGAATGTGATGATGCTGCTCGTGCTGTAGGCAATGTTAATCCCACTATGCAATGTAGCACTTCTACTACTGTGGATGATGAAGAAGGCCTTGACAGTTTTAATATTTTTTCTACATTTTCTAACACTCAAACCAGTAGCAGGAACATTGATGAACTTCAATTCTACTTGCAGAAGCAAAAAGAGCCTCGCACAAAGGAATTTTTACCGTTGGGATGGTGGCATGAAAATGGAAAGCAATTTCCTGTTCTTTTCGCTATGGCTCGGGACGTGCTGAACGTGCCAATTTCTACTGTTGCATCGGAGAGTGCATTTAGCCAAGCAAGACAACAACTTGGAGACACCTGTCACTCATTGGGAAGCAATGCTTTGGAAGTTTTAGTATGTTTCAGAGATTGGATTAGATCGGAACGAAGAAATCAAGGAAAGGAAGATGTTGATAGCCCAGAAGACGAGGAACTTGGAGATATATTAACACATGGAAACCCATCCGAATTTAACTCTCCAGAAGAAGGTCAATCGGTTCATATTGATTATGATGAACTTACTAAGGCGATGCTAAACATTTGAATTTACTACTTTACTTGTTGAAAAAAATGTATACCTTTCATTTTGTAAGTTTGAAACTTTAAATTAAGAAATAAAAGTAGCACTTGCAATAAGTGCAATTTTTTCCCATCTTACTTGTATTCTTAATTTTTTATAACATACTTTGTATTAATATAACTTACAATAGTTAATTAGTTATACAAAATTCCAATTAATGAATGCTTTATATACTTTTTGTTAATTTACCTTTTAAAATGCAAACTTTAATTTTGAATTTTGAAATAAATGTAGTACTTGCAATTTATAAGTGCAATTTTTTTCCAACTTCCATGTATTCTTTAAATTAATACAAAGTATTAATATAACTTACAATAGTTATACAAAATTCCAAAAAAAAAATTAAAAATACACTAAACCCGGCCCGGTCCGGCCCCTCAACCCGTAACCCTTATGGTCCAATTTTTACCCGGATTAACCCGAACCCGCTAAACCCGTTAAAATCCAACCCGGAACCGGACCCGGGCGGGTAAAAAAAAACGGGCCCGGCCCGGCCCACCCGTTAGACACCTTTAGTTAAACTTAAAGTTCTTTTTCTTATTTGTGCAAATCACTCACAATAGAAAAAGACCTATTAGAAGCTGCAATGAACGTTAGAGGATTCATTGCTTTTCCAGTAGATAGTCATTCCGGGTTCACATAAGCGCGTTGATAGATAAAGATAAAGTTGATTACTTGTTACACGTCTGAAATTCAGATGTAACAGATGAAAGCGAAATTTCTTGGAATGACAAGAGAAAAAGAGTTGACTGAAGACCTCACTCTTTTTTAAGCGAATTAGGAGGGTGACTCCAACAATTTATTAAAAAAAAGAAAAAGAAGATGAGTTATAGATCAGAGATGTCTATGGACACAACCACGGAAGATGGGGAATCCTTTATTTCTAATACAGATGCAATCATCAACGGCACTTCTGATATTTCAGCGTTGGCTGAGAGCTTAATCTCAGGTCCCAACATCCCTAATTCGTCTTGGACGAGTGCAGACGACATCCAGCAGCAAATTTCGACGGCTGGTGGTGGTGCTGATGATGATATGATGATTGTATCATCAGGTGCATCTTCCATGTTATCCAATACTAATAAGCAAAGTGAGATTATGATATTTAATGTTGATTTCAGGGCGTTTGCTGTTTGCAATAACAGTGATAAAATTGAGGAGAAAGGATCAGCTGAGAGCAGCAAGCGATTGGAATCTCGCTTTGGTTTAGGTTCGAATATTGGTGGGGCAGTGAATGAAGAAACCAGCTTTAGGTTTGTCAATATATATACATTGATGGCTTGTGCCGAGGCAATCCAACAGAACAACTTAAATCTAGCTGATGCACTCGTCAGCGACATAAAAAGACTTGCGGTTCAACAATCTGGAGCCGTGAAAAAGGTGGTGTATTATTTTGAAGACACTTTGGATCGAACTATTAACGGAATGAATGCACCGTATATTGTTGAATCCTCCTGATGAACTCTTGCAGATGTACTTCTATGAAACTAGCCGCTACCTCAAATTCGCCCACTTCACTGCCAATCAAGCCATTCTTGAGGCCTTTGCCGATTCAAATAGAGTACATGTAATTGATTTCAGTTTGAATCAAGGTTCGCAATGGCCGGTGCTAATGCAGGCTCTCGCCTCAGTCCTACAGCCGAGACTCGGACATGGCGGAGCAGTACCCAGGGCGGCTGATTCATAATGCGGTGACTTGCAAAGGGAGTGATCGAATTGAGAGGCACGACACTCTTAGTCAATGGAGAGTGAAAATGAACTCAGTTGGATTCAACTCGGTTCGCTTGAATTCCAACACGTGCAACCAAGCAAGCAAGCTTTTGACCTTGTTTCATAATAGGCATGGATGTGGAGTGGAAGAGAATGATGGGTTTCTTATGTTGAGTCGGGATAGTCAACCGCTCATTGCCACCTCGGCTTGGCAGCTTACGCCTCCGAGTCTAGGCTAGTAGGTCAATGGTTGAACTGTTATGAAATGTTTGGACAATTTTTAGAGTAAAAACTTTCCTTTCTTTTAGAAGCAGTTTCTATTTTTGTTTACCACGAAAAATGTGAGTAACAATTAAAGATAATTTGTGGTTTTAAAGATATGTGATTTATTCTAATACCAGTGAATATACAAGTAATATTAAGTTTAAGTAAGGCGAATTGATGAACAAAACCAGTGTTGTTAGAGAAATGGGGATCTCGAGGTCGATTATCTCGGGGGCCTCGAGGTGAGCTAAGAGCCAATAAAGTATAAACAATACAGGAAAACCCTTGAATGAGATATCCTTTACAAAGATTGGGGCCCCTTTATATAGAAGGGGAAAACCCTAATATGGTATATTTCCAATTATGGTAAAGAATTCTATTGGTACAACTGTATAACAACCTAGTACGGACTTGTACTATTTCGTACAAATCTTATCCCTTACTTTATACCCCGACCCACATGTTTTTGGAAAATTCCCGCTCTTTCTTGAGTGTCGTCGAATTTGTACTGCCCTCGAGGAAGATCATGACGGGTCTCCGACTTGCTTCTCGAGGTGCGCGTATCCAATCCAGGCTTGATTCTTACTTCGAGCTTCCCAAACTCGAGCTCGGGGCATGAGTAAATCTTCAAAATCGAGCTTTTCGATTTCGACCGTATACAGATAATCCCTGCATTTCTTAGAATAAGATGATAAGAAACGATTTAGACTTCAATTTTCTCGAACCTCTCGTGATGATGTCATGCCCTTGACGTAGGCGCTTGAAGTGAGCGGAAATGTCATGTCAGTATGCTTCCCCAAAACGTCAAATACGTTTAAGCCTTTTTCAGCCACTTGCGTCGCCGGTCCCGTCGTCAGTTTTCTATAAATAAGCGGTTATTTGGCTGAACAAAAACTACACTTATTCCTTCTTCATCTACTTTTAGTCATTTCCCTTCTCTACCTCTTCCTCTAATCACCTATTTCCATGGTTCAAATCTGTGGTCACAAGGTCACATGGCAACGACTTTACCAGTTACGACAAGGCTTCCTTTTTCAAAGCTTCGGCTCGAGACAACGAGAGAAAGGCACTGAATCCTCCAGTATCAGAAGATATGCGAACTTTACATTGCTGCTCATCTCTCTTAACTTCAACCCGGGAGAAGGTGTTAGGCATTTCCGGGTTCCGTGGTTTTAGCACGGTCGCTTAAACTATTATAATTGGCCCATTATCTGATTCTAATACATGTTTTATCTTATGGTACATTTTTAACTTATTAGCCGCTTTGAATTAATTTTAGAAAGATTCAATGTTATCTAAAACACGTCTTGAACCACGCCACATGAAATGCATCCGCGGTCCACGACATATTTTATTTAACGTTGTTGAGAATTGGAGTTGGGTCACATGAAATGCACACTCGAGTTTAAGAAAATTAATTTAAATTACGCGCCTAAAGCAACTACGGACTTTCAAGTTTGCGAGGGCCATGGAAAATTCAACTAAATGGCACATCTCGATTTCTAAAGGATTACAATTAATTAAGCGAGGGCCATAAATTTTGAGATTTTATTTGGCATGGCTTGCCTCGAATTATTCTATCAAAAGGATTTCTAAATTTAGGGTTGAGGGCCATAAGCTATTAGTGTTATTTCATATGGCACGCCTCACTTTAGGTAAAAGAACTATTTTAAACAACACAAATTAAAGCTATGGTTGCACGACTAATGGTCACGGGGAAATGCGGGGCTTTCAGATTTTTGAAACAGGCCTATTACGAATAAAGCTTCAGCAACAAATTAAATAAGGAAATGGGCTCAGAAGAGCCGACCCAAACACAAAGAAGCCTGGAACTCCTATCTTCAAAGGGGCTCAAGGTTTAAGCCCAAAGGGAGCCAAATCATATGAAAGGCAAGTATTGAAAGCCTGGGACTCAAGATCGAGTGCCTTCATAAAAACCAGTACGTATTTGAACCTAAAAATACAAGCTAAGCCTGATTAAGCTTCATCAACTACAGCAAAGGACTAAAAAGGATGGGGCATCACTAAACCATATCACAATTTTTTAAAGGAAACATTGTTTGAATTCAAATGTATTAATGACATACAACCACAAAACTGTCTAACATTTAACTTCAATTTTAATCTCAAACTAAACAATGATACGGAAATCAAAATTTCAATTAACTTTCCTAACACCATATCAACAGAAGACTTGAAATTGATATTAGATAGCTCCGAGCTTAAACACCAAGTCCAATAAGATTCAAGTACAAATCAATCGATTCAACACATGCTTAATTGTTAATGCAAACACACAGGGAATTTTCTTTCACCTATAGCAAGTTTCAACCAAACTGACAACTAAAGCAAGATAATCAGGTAGCTTAAACTTCAAATTAACGCTAAGACACCACATTCATAATCATGAAATAAGCTAAAAAAATATTCCTAGAGCTGAATATTACAACCATAATTGAGATTGAAAGAAGGAGAAATGAAATTCAGCAGCAAACAACACTAATTTTATCACATTTCCAATTCCAAGTTCCATGTTACATTCAAGTGATGTCCATAGTTCCCAAAAGTACCTGGAAAAATCAAGAGAAAAGCAAAGGGAGTGAGGGAGTAGCAACAGCAGCAGGACAACAACAATGTAACAGTACCCACGCAACAAATCAATCAAACTTTCAAACCAAATCAACCACTTTAGAACCGAGATGCTCGATTTGGAAATCTTAAAAGCTCTAATCAACCAAAGAACCAGAAAACCCAAGCTAATTTTCAGCAATTTTTCAATATTGTTGCTTTTAGAAAACTCAGCAGTTTTTAAAGTTTTTTTTAGTGTTTTTCAGTCTCAAAACTCTTCCTTGCTAGTGAAGAAACAATGTCTTTATAGTGAGCAATTAGGGCAGCAGAAAATGAGCCAAGTTATTTGCTACTTGCCCTTTTTAAATTTTTATTTTTGCTCCTATGCCCTTAGTTTAAAAATCTTTTTTGAAAAACAGCCCCAAACCCACCATCTAGGCAGCTTCCTAAGTTAGTTATACAAGATTCCTTTACCTAAATTCCTTAAACTACCCTTGTAATCTCTGCTATTTACCCTAGCATATCTCATGGGTCAAGTCTGATCCAAGACTTAAACCCAAATGAATGGGCTGCTTTTCGAAAATGGGTTAGAATTGAACCCAAGACCCAAACCAAAATCAGAAACCAATTTTAATGAATCAATGAGAAACAAGAAAAGAAACACTTGAATGTTTTTTAACTATAAAGGCTTGACTGATTTTTTTAACTAATATAAATAGAACTAAAATTAAGCTAGATGACTAAATCAAACAACATCTAATTAAGCTAATTTACGGCTAGACTATGAAGGACAAAAATCAGAAGCTTAAACAGAGATGAATAAACCAAACGGAATCAATGAATAGTTTTTTTTTAAAAAGCTGAAAAGGAAACTGAAAAGCAGACGAAACCAATACAGATATGAATCAACCTAGAAAGGAAAGCCTAGGTTCAGAACCTTGGTCGATTTTCAGTCCACTTCAAGAAAATGAGAAGAAAAGAAGAGGAAAGGAAATGAAATAACACTAGTGGACATAAAAATACAAGAAAACTTACCAAACAAGCTCGAAACCAAACCGGACTTCTTGATTTAACGAAACTGATGCTAATCACTTGTTCTTTATCAAGAACAAATGAACAACATCAATTCGCGTTGAATCCAACTTTAAACTCGAAAGAATCAGAAGCCTATGGTTATGCATGCCAACAGATTCAACAGAAATTAATTTTGGACTTTTAGGGTTTCGAACTCAGATTTGAAATTCGAGAAGATGTGTAGAGATTCAAGGGAAACGGTTTTGAGATTGGGAAAGGGGAGGTTGTGAGGATTTTATGGTGTTAATTTGGGGCGTATTGGAGGTGGCGCCGCCGGCGGGGTTTCAGGGCGGCAGTCTCTAGGGTTCTTTAGAGACGAAGAGGGAAGGGGTTTGGAGAGAGGTTTGGACTGGGGGGTATTAGTTCTGACCGTTAAATATAAAGAGGGACCTCGGTTCCGGTCCGTTGGATCAATGAGATCCAAAGGTTGAGATGACATAGGGTTAAACGGCGTCGTGGGGG